GCTCACTCCATGATCCACTGATGAACTCAGAGCCCTCATGATCCAGGTATTCCCTAAAAGCCCCACCTCTGAACCTTGGTGCATTGGGGACCATGGTTTCAATACGTGAGCTTTTGGGGGACATTCTAGCTTCAAACATAACACCTGACATACCAGACGGTGCTGGGACAACCAGGCCACATTGCACTGACCTGACCTTGGGGATCAGTGTTCAATTTATTAAAACAAATTAAAATCCCTCATTTGCTCTTAAAATTTTAAATATCAGATGGTCACACACCTATGAAGCTATAGTGAAAATACACAACACTTCCATCACTCACCTTCAAAAGATTCCCCAGGTCCCTCTGTAGAACATCCCTTCCTCTGCTCCCAGACCTCTCTGATGGCTAGTCTACTTTCTGTCACTATACATTAATCTGTATTTTCTAGGATTTTTGTATAAATGGAAACATACAGTAAGCACCATGGGTCGAGCTTATCTCACTTACCATGCTGATTTCAAGATTCACTTCTGTTGAATGTTGCAATAGTTTGTTCCTTCTTATTATGATGATTTTTTTTTCAGAAAAGAAACATTTTAATTACTGGTTAATATTTTTTGTATCATGGAATATTTCAATATGCTTAACAGAAAAGGACAAAATAGGGTATGAATTCCCATGTACACATTAACCCAGTTTCAGCAATTATCAAGCCAGGGCCGGTTTTGTTTCTACCTTATCTCTACCCATTAACTACCTCCTGTATTAATTGGAAGCAAATCTTAGATGTCATTATTTCTTCTGTCAGTATTTAGGAATTTACTTCTAAGAGATAGGGACCCTTTAAAAAAAGATAAAATCACAATATCATTGTCATGTCTATAATATTTTAACAATAATACCTTAATTTCACCAAATATCCAGTCAGTGTCCAAAGTTACATACAGTGTTTGAATCAGAAGCCAAACAAGACCTCGGTTAAACTATTTATCAGTATATCTCTCAAATCTCTTTGCATGTGTAAGTCCCCTTAGTTCATTTGTGCTGGTCTAATAAAATAACCGAGTCTGGGTAATTTATAAATAATAGAAAATAATTTCTTCATTATGCACAACTATAATGTGCTAATAAAAAATGTGGAAGAGATATTCGGGTTATTCTGCAGATCGTATAAATCTTTCGCCTTTTACTAAAGATTTCCTTGGAGAGGAACAACAACAACAACAACAAATGTGGGAGAAAAAGAAATGAATTTCTTGCAGACCTGGAATGTGGGAAGTCTGTGATCAAGTCCCTGGCAGGTTTAATATGTGGTTAGAGGTGTTTCTGCTTCCAAGATGGTACCTAGTTGCTATATCCTCACATGGCAGAAGACAGAAGGGAAAGTGGGAGGAACACTGTTTCCCTCCACCCATATTTTTAAGGTTGCTAATCCCACCACTTGACTTAATCACCCACTAAAGTGGTGAAACTTAATCACCTTCTTAAGTTTCAATATGTGAATTTTGGAGGAGACAGAAATAGTCAAGCCATAGCATCCCTTTGTGGCTCTCTTTCTATTTTTTTTTCCTTATACTTTGTTGAAGGAACTATGTAGCTTGTTCTCTATGGATTCTTACAATTAGGGTTTTGCTAACTGTATTTTCTAGTAGTATTAACATATCTCTCTGTCCTCTTCATATCTTGAAATTTTGTTGGATATAAAGGAATAAATGTTTTAATTGAAGGATAAAGCTCTCATTGTTCTATTTATAAGTCTTAACACATTTTAGTAATAATTAAAAAAATTTTTTTGGTTCTTTCTTTTTAAAAAATATTTTATTTTGGTTGTAGATAGATGCAATACCTTTGTTTATTTATGTGGTGCTGAGGATAGAACCCAGGGCCCCACACATGAGAGGCAAGTGCTCTACCGCTGACCCCCAGCCCCAGCCGCAGATTTTTTTTTAAATTTTATTTTTTTAATTTATATATGACAGCAGGATGCATTACAATTCTTGTTACATATATAAGCACAATTTTTATATCTCTGATTATATACATAGTATATTCACACTGATTCATGTCTTCATACATGTACTTTGGATAGTAATGATTATCACATTCCACCATCATTAATTACCCCATTCCCCCTCCCTTTCCCTCCAATCCCTCTGCCCTATCTAGAGTTCATCTATTCATCCCATGCTCCTGTTCCCTATCCCACTAGAAATCAGCCTCCTTATATCAAAGAAAACATTCAGCATTTGTTTTTATTTTGGGATTGGCTAACTTCACTTAGCATTATCTTCTCTAACTCTATCCTTTTACCTGCAAATGTCGTGATTTTATTCTCTTTTATTGATGAGTAATATTCCATTGTGTATATATGCCATTTTTTAATCCATTCATCTCTTGACGGGCATCTAGGTTGGTTCCACAGTTTAGCTATTGTGAATTGTGCTTCTGTAAACATTGATGTGGCTGTGTCCCTGTAGTATGCTGTTTTTTAAGTCCTTTGGGTATTGATCGAGGAGAGGGACAGCGCAGCCCCAGATTTTAGCAATAATTTTAAAAGGGTCTTGAGTAATGTTGGTTTGAATTTATAAAGGTAGTTAATTAAACACTGTTCAATTATAATTTTGAAGTCTTTAGGGCTGGCAAACTATAGCATGTTGGGACTACCATCTGTTTTTGTAAATAAAATTTTACTGGAACATAGACATGCCCATTCATTTATATATTTTATTGTTTGTGACTGCTTTCCCAATATAATGACAGTAGTTGTGAAGAAGACCCTTTGGCCCATAAAGTCTAAATTATTTACAATGTGTTATTTTAAGAAAAAGTTTGCTGACCTCTACAAAGCACTTGTACATTTTATATGATTTAACAATACTGTTTCCTTTTTAGGTACTTCATTTATCGGACTATCACTGCAATTATTCATTCTTAATAAAGCTAATCAATTACAGTTGCAGATATGGTAAACTTTAGGTTTCTTAGATGTCCTGGAACTCTGCATAAGCTTCATCAAGATTTCAACTTACAACCAGAAATCTATACTAGTTATTTGATTACCTACTTTAAATTGTTCGTGTACAGGATCTCATGCTAAATTCTCTTACACATTTATAAATATACAAAATACCTAGTATGTCCAAATTACAGAAACATTATTATTATGATTTAGATTTCTTAAGCCTTTCATATTAATTCTTAGGTTTCTGGAATGGAAAAATAGGAAGTATTAGGAAAACTGTTACCATCAAGTTATCTGAAGTGAAGGCAGATACTACATGGATCAACTGAGGTAATTTACAGCCAGAGATTTTGACAGAACCTGATATTTAGTTGCAGAAATGTAGAGGATTACTGTCCCTACTGTCCTACTAAGCCCCTTTCTGCAAATACTATGTCAGGGACTTGGAAGCTGAAAGTGTTGATTTTGGACTCACACAACCCAATTCTCATGCAGATGTGCACCTATGCAAGGGTTCATTCATCACTTGATTAGATGATTAGATGCACATCTATGATTTCTGACATTTTATCTATCTCTGAAGATCACTGAGTTCCTTGGAATCCAAAGGAAAATATCACATCTATTTTCACTTGCAAATACTTCAGTATGAATCTCTAATACCTAAGAAAGTTAAAAAGACATTTTTGTGCCATTTGTCCTTTGGCACATGTAAGAAAATTATCAATAATCTCTTGATGTAGTTTAGTGGTAAAATGCTTGCCTAGCATTAGCATGCAAGAGGCCCTGGGTTGCAGCCTCCAGCGCGCGCACACACACACACACACACACACACACACACAAAAGGAAAGAAAAAAGGTCTTTCTTCATTTTGTCCAATCAGAATTACAAGGCCACATTTCATGCTTAGGGCAGAACACTTGCTGCTCTGCCATGGCGGCCTATTTTAAAACTGACATTCCCCCCCCCCCCCCTTCTCTTTTCCCTCTCCCTAACCTTGTGGGAGCAAGATTACCCTTCTTCCCATCCTAGGCTGAGTTATCTGTCCTTGAGCAAACACACACCACAGGAATGAAGCAATTCAGATTTTGAGGATGGCGCCAGAAGACCTAACAAAATGCTATCTTTCAGGGCCACAGGTGATTTACTTCCCCTGACAAGGTGCACCTGGAATATAGCCTTTGACTCACCTCTTCAAAAGCCCTCTGTTTCCCCTGCTGGATAGAATCACAGACTCTGGGGAAAGGAGTCCCCTGTGTTTCTCCTTTGCTAGCAAAGTAATGAAACATCTTTTTCCATGTTTGCAAAATCATGTTTTCCTTATTGGGCTGGCATTGGGGACAAGGGTGGAACTTTCGTTAACACTCTCAAAAACACTGATTTGCTAAAGAAATCCAGTCATTAGCTTTCTATGATTTCCCTCATTTTGGATTTGGCTGATTTCTTCTAGGTGGTATGAAGGCTGTTAATTTTCCTTTATTCCTGTATTTCTAGTAGCAGATTTGATTAGATTTGTAGTCAGCACCTCTCCCCGCCACCCCACAAGAATACTTCATAGGCAGGCAAATGTATTTCCTATTATAGAACGTTGAACTGGACGGGCCCTTGCATTCTTTCATACTTCTGGGGTCTTTAAAATGGCAACCTGATTTAAGTGTTGACATCTCGACAGTCACAACTCACACAGCTTTCATTAAGATACACACACACACACACACACACACACTTATTTATTTATTTATTTATTCATTCATTTACTCTCTCAGTATTCTGCATATAACGAAACTAAAGTTTACAGCGTTTGATTCATCCGACCCAGTTGACAAAATGACTTTGTACGTTTAAGGGGGAATTAGAATTCCGATTTCCTAGTCCCTTCCCGGTCTGAGCGCCTCCACTTCCGGCTCTCACAGAAGCCACAGGGCACCAACCAGCAGGAAGGAAGCCCTCTTTCCCTGTCCCCTCCTGCAGGCACCTCGCTTCTCTTGTCCCGCCCCATAAGGTCTGAGGTCGAATCCCGGGGAGCCCCAGGGAAACCACACTTCCCAGAGCGCACTGCGACCGGTGGAGTCCTCCAATCGGCGCTCGGCGGCAGGGGCCATTTCCGTAGAGAGGAACGGCGGAGCGGCCTGTGTCCATGGCGCTGTTCCCAGCCTTTGCGGGCGTTAGTGAGGCCCCCGATGGTGGGGGTTCCAGGAAAGGTGAGCACACAAAAAGGTTGAAGAAAGCACCCGGCGAGGTTAAGGCCAGTCTCTCGGGCCCGGGTTGCGTCTATTGTCTTAGGTTTGTTTACCCATTTGTATCCCAGAGTTCTCCGCGCGTTGCAAAGCCTTCTGGGAAGGGCTCCGCGCTTTGCCGGGGGTGTGGGGCTCGAGGGCGCCTTCGGGGGCGAGGGTTGTCGAGTTTTGGAAGGAGGAGGAAAGACGGAAAAGAGGCTATGGGGCTAGGACCAAGATATTGTCGGACTTCTTTCTTTCTCCGAGCGTCACTTAACCTTTAAAATGACGGTGCTCCACATTGCAAAGAGACTCCCGATGCAAATGCTGGATATTCTTACATATTTCCACCTTTAATGTTCTATTCATTTGTAAGATACTTGTTGAATTTCTGTCTTTTGGCAGACCTAGAGCTAAGGATTGGAATCCAAAGACTAATCAGGTTCTTTCCAAATGGACGTAGCTAGTCGTGAAAAGAATAAAATGTTCTTGAGGGTTTACTGTGTGTCTCGTTGTAGCCCTACATTATTTTGTTTAAGCCCTTAAACATCTGAAGAGGGATGCATTGTTAAAAATTGAGACACACAGTGAATTTATTTAAAAAACAATCCTACACTGGACACCGAGGCGCTCGCCTTAATCCCAGAGGCTTGGGAGGCTGAGGCAGGAGGACCGAAAGTTCAAAGCCAGCCTCAGCAATTTCTCGAGGCCCTAAGCAATTTAGCAGGACCATGTGTCAAAATTCAAAAAGTCCTGGGGATGTGGCTTAGTGATAAGCCTCTGGGTTCAATTCCTGATACCAAAAGGAAAAAAAGAAAAATTAAAAAAGAGGACAATCCTAAGTCATGTACTTCATGTGAAAGGGCCCAATTGTGAGTAAGATGTGTCAAAAAAAAAAAAATTACAGCAAATTTAAAGATCTTATTTGGCTTTTATTCCCGAATTTATAGTCAGGTAGCACTCAGAACCAGAACAGGTCCAAAGAACTCCTGAGATGCAACTGGTCAGAAACATTTATGGATAGAAAGTGGAATTGAGATACAACCACAACTTAAATGGTTACAGCTCAGTGTTTTATCTTATTGGAGTCAACTGCTCCCTGCAGGTGACTTAACTCAGCTACTGTGATTGACTAAGATTCAAGTATTTGTTAGAAGAGTGTACTCTTTACCCCTAAATTAGATTTTCCTTTGGCCTACCAAGGCAGGTTATAGTTTACCACATAAGGATGCACATATCTGAGGCATTTTTAGCTTAAACTTAATTTAACACACCTCTTTCTATCCTCTCTTAGCTCCTAAACTTCTCTTTTTGTAACAGTTCTTAACATTTGTAGTTTCTTATGTGGTTAATGTAATCTTTATTAGACTGTAATCAATAAGGCCAGGGAAATTGTCTCTACATTGTAGTATACTTTATACTTAGCTAAGCCACTTAGCCATTTGCTAGCAACTAAGAATACAGTAAGTGTTCAATAAATATTTGCTAGAATTACTCAGAATTAATGTGTTGCATAAGGGAACCTAAAAAATAACAGTACAAAGTAGGATGTTGTAGACGTCAGAGGTGAACCATAGCAATAACAACTTCTAATGGAAGATTCAAAGAAGGCTTTTTATTTTTATGTAGGAGCTAACTTTGGGACCGTCCTCAAGAGAGTAGGATTTGGACAAGTAGAGATTGTGGAAGAGTATTCCAGAGTCTTGAAGAACCTGAGGAGGAAAAGCATGAGACTTGTGCATAGAACTGCAAATAATCCAGTTAGTGTGGAAATATGATTGGGCTGGTGATAAGAGAGTATAGTGACCTTTAAACAAGATGAGGGTGTATTTTATTTTGGGAGGGAAATTGAAGGTTTATTTATTAAAGGTTTATCTTAACTAGTATTTATTGTACATGCTCTGGGTATCCAGCATCAGGATAATGTATGGAAAAGTGCTTTTCATAAAATATTTTTAAAAAATTTAAACACTATAGATTATTACTTATAGTGAGATTAACTGTAATTTCTTAGTATCATTTAACTATGAAAAAGTGTTCAGTTTTCCCAAGGTGTCTTCATATGGCCTTTTATACTTGGTTTATTTAATCAGGATCCAGAAGTCAGGCTCCACATTGCATTTTATGAATATGTCTATTTCAGTATAAAACAATTTCTTCATATCTTCTTTATTCTCAGGTGACTTTTTTGTAAAGGAAACTGGGTTATTTGTCTTAAAGACATTTTCCACCACATCTTCATGATGTCATTTAATGCTTCTCTGTTTCTTATAAGCTGGCAATTAGATCTAGAGAACAATTAGATTCAGGAATAATCTCTTTTGTGGAAAACACCTTGCACTTGATATTATATTGGGAAGGTAAGCTATATAGTTTTCTCTTTTAGTGATAGTAAGATTTCACTGGTCTGGCCCAAAATAGGGATGGGGATGAGGCTCAGTGGTTGAGTGCCCCAGAGTTCAACCCCCAGTACTAAAAAAAGAAAGATTTCATTGGTGGATTCATATATTTGCAACCTCTTTCTTTCATTAGGAAGCTGCCCATCAACCTTTCACCTAATGATTTTTGCAATCATCAGTTGCTAACTGATTATTTTCTAGTTTTTTCATTACTCTTATATTAGCATCAGCCATTCCTTAGAGAACTCTTGAGTACCATAAAATACGATTCAGGCAAGATTTGACAGGATGAATACTTGATTCATTTCCTTTGTCAGTTTGCAGAAAGAAAAGTTGGGTCCTGGTAACTTCTAGAGGTTACCATTGAGTTTTATTATTATTATTATTATTGTTTTTGTACCAGGGATTGAACCCAGGGTTGCTCAATCACTGAGCCACATCCCCAGACCTTTTTTATTTTATTTAGAGACAGAGTCTTGCTGAGTTGCTTAGGGCCTTGCTAAGTTCCTGAGATTGGCTTTGAACTTGGAATCCTCCTGCCTCAGCCTCCTGAGCCACTGGGATGACAGGTGTGCACCACTACACACAGCCCAAATTATTATTTTAAAAATCACTTGAAATAATTCTTTTGAGTGGCTTTGCTACCACTTTTTAAAAATTTTTTAATTTTTAGGTGGATACAGTATCTTTATTTTATTTTTATGTGGTGCTGAGGATCGAACCCAGTGCCTCACAGGTGCTAGGAGAGCGCTCTACACCACTTGAGCCACAACCCCAGCCCTTTGCTACCACTTTTTTTTTTTTTTTAATTTTTTATTGTGGGTTGTTCAAAACATTACAAATTTCTTGACATATCATATTCCACACTTTGATTCAAGTGGGTTATGAGTTATGAACTCCCACCTTCACCCTATACACAGATTGCAGAATCACATCAGTTACACATCCATTGATTTACATATTGCCATACTAGTGTCTGTTGTGCTCCGCTGCCCGATGGCATTAGAGCAGATTATGCTAAGTGAAGCTAGCCAATCCCTAAAAAACAAATGCCAAATGTCTTCTTTGATATAAGGAGAGTAACTAAGATCAGAGTAGGGACGAAGAGCAGGAGAAGAAGATTAACATTTAACAGGGAAGATTAACATTTGCTACCACTTTTGATACATAGATATGTTGGTTATATTTTCAGTTTTTAGGGAATGCTTTTTCTTCTTTTTCATTTAATTGTGTTCTATAATGATGGTACATATTATAAAGATGAAAATATAAATCAGTTATATTCAGAGAAAGAAAGCTTCTGGATCCTGATTAAGTAAACCAAGTATAAAGTTCTTTTCCTTCCCCCACAAGTTAACATTTTCCATTGGTCAGTGTTATCCTTCCATTTTTTCTGCCTTAATGTAACTAACTACATTTGCCTTCTCTTTCCTAACCACTTACTATTCTGTATTTTATCTTAGATCCGGAAGATGGCTCTTATAGCAGAGTGTAGAGAGCTTCCTTATTGGTGTCCCAAACTCCATTGTCTGAATGGCAAATGCTTTATTCAGCCAGTTTTCCATTAAAGACATTTGGACTGCTTCTAGTGTTTCACTATTATAAGTAGAAGCACTGTGATTTTTGCCTTACACTATAAAATATTATAAAAAAGATGTAAGCTTTTAAAAATCACTTGAAATAATTCTTTTGAGTGGCTTTGCTACACATTGCCACTCACTGGTCTAAATACTCGACAAATACTAACTCATCTCAACAAATACTAACTCATTGACCTCTCATAACAACCTTATGAAGTTGGTGCTGTTCTTTGCATTTTTATGGATGAGGAAATGGAAGCCAGAGTAACTTGCCCATGGATTGGAACTCAGGAGGTTTAGCTTCCAAGGACCTGCTCTTCTTTTGAACACTATATCTGATTTTGTCACTATTGCTCAAAACTCTCAGAACGTCCATCCATTGTTGTTAGGGTAAACTCGAACCACTTTTTTTTAAAGCCCAATCTCCCCACCTTCATTTTGCCCCCACTTTCCCTCAGCCCCAGTGGTCTAGCCAGAGAGACCATGAGTTCTCACGTTCAGACCTTTCTATAACCAGTTTCCTCTGCCTGGACACTTCCCAGGAACACACTTGCTTACCTCATCAGCTTTTAGATCTTAGCGGAGATGTTCTCCAAGGCAACTTTCCCTGGTTCAAACCTTGTCTGTATTTGGTAACCTATTGAAATCCTCTGATTATACCTGGTGTGTTTTCTGGAGCTTGGCCTTTATCATACTGCATGGTGACCACCAGCATGTGAAGGTAGTATTGGGTTTATTTGGTTCTTTTGTATTCCTAGTGCCCAGAACAGAATATGGCTTTTAGTTAAAAAAAAAAAAAAAAAGTTACTGAAGGAAAAAAAGACTGAGGAGGTTAAGCATTTTGTTCAGAGTTGTACAACTAATGAATGGTAAAGTAAGTTTGAACCCAGATCTTTCTGACTCCAGAACTTGGGTTATAAATCGGGCTGAGCCGTGTTGGAGGCCATGTTCAATATTACAGGGTTGTTTAAACATTCTCTTTGGAATTCCTGAGCCTTTTCAAACC